AAGTTTAACTAGAAACGATAATACATCAGCAAATAAATTAAGCAATTAGATAAATTAGAGTGAAATGAATTCGTTATTTGCTTAAAGCAGTCGATAATAATATCGAAGAGAATTTTAAACCCCTTTTATATATTTTTTATATAATTTAAAAAATAATCAAAATTGGGTTAAAAAAAAAAAGAAAATGAATCTAAGTAGAATGAAATATTTTGCAATCCGAAGCAGGAGTTCTGATACTTGGAATACTTGATTGGGGAAATTTGTACAGGAGAATACTTGAGCTCTAAATTCAATGCATCTACTGTGATTTAATATAATTAATCAATATATGTTATAAAATTCCATAAGGAATTCTTATCAAACCTAGAAAATTCAGTAACAAGTAATATATATGAGTGTGTGTGTCATAGTATCATAAATAAAGTAAACGGAATGGGTTAAATTCCTGTGATGTCATAATCACATGATAGCAACAACCACATGTTTCCAACCAATCAATTCATACGCTTCGCTATTGCCAACTCTTGCTTTTAACAGAAATTTACTTTCACAAAATTCATATTTACTTACAAAAATGGCGAGCATTGACGAACAAAATGTACTTGGTTTAAAAGTACACGTATGAGAATTTGTTTTGTTAATTTTTAAAAAAGTTTTTGAGAGAAGAATATTGGTATTTAAACATTTACTCAATTATGAAATTCGAAATTTTATCTTCTATTTTACAAATAGAAGAAAAAGTACGTGTAATGTCAGTTTCGAATTCAATGGAAAACATGTGATTGCAGTTATCACATGATTGTCATGAATTTAGCACATCGAATATTAAACTTATTGCATTTATAGTCAAATTTTCGTAAGAATTTCTCTCTTAAACCTTTAAAAAATTTAAGTCACTTCTCTTTAAACCTAAGTAGCCATCTTCGTGGTGCCTTTCTCAATACCGAACTTGCTGCCACCTTTCATTCTGAGTGAAGATAAAATATAGACCTGTTGATAGAAGTGTGATTGGCTGAGGACTGGAAGTTCTCATTCCGGTCGCTATTAATCGTTTCAGGGGAACCCCCTGGGATTAATTAAACAATACGAGCACCACCCCTCACCCTATGCTTCATGAGGGCCCGACTAGTAATTACGCTGACATAAAATAAAGCCCTTTTTTTTCTTTTGTCCCTTCTTTTACGTAGAGAAATTGAAGTGCAAGAGAGATTTAATTGGCTACAAACAATTACTTCAGTGTTAATTAATCTTTGAGGGCAGTTTTAGTGATGCATAAATATCTCATCAGGTGGCGCTTTCTGAAATCTTTCTTATCTTTTGACGTTTATGGCCGCGTGTGGAGCAATATGTTTAAACGATATTTCTTCGAGCCGGTATTGGAAATAGTGATATGTGGGCTCGGTGAAGGTTTTTATGTTTGGGGAAAAGATGTATAAATTCTGGGATTATATTAAAAGTTTTCCTGGTTAGCTTAACTACTAAGGTTCTTTTGTGTTTATTGTTTGTGTAGTAAGTATTTATGTGATTAGTTCAAAAAGAACCACTAGTTTGTATTTTTTGAGATTGAGAAAGTTTGTGAAATGCGAAAAATAACATAAAAGCTTTAAAAGGATTTCCGATTTCGGCTTAATTAAATTAGAGTAAAAATTAGTAAAAAAATCACAAGGATAAGTAAGAATTACTTATCTTTGCGATTGACAAGGTTGAAATCAAAGTCCTCTTCCAAAAGAAAAAAAGATTCCAGTAACATTTTTTTTTCAAAAAATTTATTAATTTCAACAAGAGAGCTCAAAATATATCTACAAGACTGCAGGCTCAATAGTAGAAGACTTTCTGAAAATCATAGTATTCTAAACTGTAAGAGAGAGATTTGTGTGTGAGAGAACATTTGTGGGAGAATATCTGTGGGGGAATATTTCGTGGGAGAACACCTATGGGAAACATTTTGCTTCAAACATATTTCATTACAAAACTTGATGATAGTATTCTAAACTGTGAGAGAGGGCATTGGAGGAAACCATTTTGCGGAAGAATATTTGTTTAGGAATATTTGTGATAGCCCACGGGCTGTGGTATCATTTCTTCATCATCCACGTGACCCAAGTTTAGGGGGAAAAAATTTACCCCTCAGAGATTCCATACTAAAATTAGTTTATTGTTATCTCAATTTATATTCAGCAAAAACAACACAAATCTAGGAGGCTTATAAACCCGATTAAAGAAACATAAACTTCAATTCTAACAAATAAAACCAATAAACCACCGAATCTTATTTATGGGTGATTCCCTAACCCAAATAGAATCCTCTAGTCTTAAAGTTTAATATAATCTATCTTACCCCCAATCCACGGCGAACGGGTACCCGTCCTTATTCAAAAATATAATCTTGATCCCAAATTGATCCGGCAAATGGATAATCTTCGGGCTTCCCAACCCCTTTGTACTCTCCTTCTTAGAACTTCACTTAACACTCATATAACTCCCTAGCACTTCCTAGGGCACCCTCTTAGAACCTCCTTTTTTTTATTAAACCTCCTTTTCCCTTTGAACCTTTACGGGAATATTAAAAAACTCCAATATATACACATTCCCAATTTGAAAAATCGCGTTTCTTTTTCTTGGGTTTTGGAAAAAATTGCCCTTCTGGCCCAAAAAATTTCCCAAAAAGGGTTTTTTGTTAGAAAAAAGGGGGTAAAGCCCGTCACACATTTTGGGAAGAACATCTGTGATAGAGCATTTATTTAAAGCATATTAAAAAAAACAAAATTCGAGAACTAATTTCTAAAAGATAGCCCAAAATAAGTCTGACAGCTTGTAGGTTCGACAGTATGAGAAGAATTACTAAAAATGACAGTATTTTAAATTGTAGGAGAGGGTCTGAATATTGAAAGTTTAAGTTTCCGTAAACACCATCATTTCGTTCCTTGGAGAATGAGTGGACTGTTAATGATAGCCCTCATCCCACAATTTTGTTTGAATTTCAAAAAGCGTTTAGATATTCTTTCATGTATGTTTACGAGAATAAATACATAAAACATTTTAACCTTGCACAAATTTTAAAAAAAATTCTTATTTTTCAAGATACTTATTTTCTTCTTTTCTTTTGCCTTTTTTTCATGTATACTTAAATCTTATCTCTCTCTCTCTTAAAAAATTATAAATAACTTTTTTTAAAAACAAACTCTGCTTACATTTAAACATAAAATGAAGAATTTGGCACGGAAAAATCCTTTTTCGCATTAATTTAAAAAGGAGGAATTTTTCGACTTTTCAGTAAAGGTTTACATTAAATAATTCCAAATACCTCTTATTCCTTAGAAGTTTTTTCAAACAAATATTCAGGCGAGGTTTTATATATTGTATCATATGAATATAATTTTAAGAGATTACGGCTTTCCAGTAAAATTTGAATATAGAAAACATTTTTTTAAAAAAGAATGTAGCCCAAACAAGTTCCCTTGAAAAATTTCAAAAATCTTTTTAAATAGAAAGGGTATCTGTATGTATAAAAATGGATGTTAGTATATATGACCTCGCTGCACTCCAACATCGTTCAACCAATTACTATGAAAATTGGCACGAATATGTATTTTTTTGGTGGAGAAGGTTTTGTGCTTTCTCTTTTTTGCCTTCCCCCCGGTGGCACTACAAAACATATCAACTTTTGACCGTTCGATCAATCGCCAAAATCGCCCAAAACGGTCGCCAAAAGGATCCCCCTTGAATTTATCCCCCACATTTCACCGTTTTTCCATTAATCGCCATTATAATGAAAGGAAACCCCCGTTGCTTGCGAATATTACAAAACATAAAAAAAAATACAACAGAAAAGTAATATTTTCGATTAAAACATCCAGATATAAATTATTGACCTATTTTTAAACGTTCATTAAAAAAGCGGGTTCTTTTTTCTGAGCAGAGGGCGGGTTAGGAAGAAAAAAACGATCCACAAGACAGTTACGGGGGGTTTTAAATAAAAAAAAAAAAAATTTTTTTTTGTTTTTTAAGTTTTTGCAAAAAACCTTAAAAAATTTAACCAATTGGGTTTTAATTTTTAAATTAGGCGAAAAAGGGGTTTTTGTTGTTTTTTAATTTTAAAACTAAAAAAGGGTTTTCTCATTCACAAAACCAAATTTATTTTTTTTTCAATCTGTATTGTTTAATTTTTCAATTCATCCGTGCGAAGAAAGGGTGTATACCAGCTAGTATATACATAAAACTAAAAAAGGTCGACTTTTCTGCAGTTCACATTATTGATATATCTCAATAGATATAATATTTTTGATTTTCTAATTGAAAAACCATTTTCATGAGTCATAAGTCTAGAGTGATTGGTATCAAAATCCAAAAATAACTCTTTATGCATATAATTAAAGCAAAGAAAAGTATTCATGGAAGACTTTTCTAATATAAGAAAAAAGAAAAGGATATATATATATATATATATATATATATATATATATATATATATCAATATTTAGCAGTAAGTCCTTAAATCACCACTCACATTACCATCTTGATTCCGTCCAATCACTCATATAGCGAATGTGAAAATCTAATTATAGAACAAAATTTACATTTAAAAAGAACAAAAGGGAAATAAGAGATGGTAATTTTCAATTAGGGAAATGAGATATAAAAATTATCTGAAAAAGGCTTTTCTGAAAACAATACTTCAGTTAAAGTTACGCCACATAAGTAAAAACATAACAAGTAATATAAAAAAAAATTATATTTATTCCTATTTAAATCAACAAAGAAAATTTTTATTTCAGAGTTACTTTTTATTAAATAGTTACAATTAATAGAAATATATCTATACATATGTGAGACAGAATCACAATATTAAGTGACAAAATAGAAAGCGATTTTTCATTTTCCTTTTTATATAGGGTGTTGGACTATTTTTTTTGTGTTTGTTACTATTTATTCATAAAATTTAATTATTCTAATGAAATAGTATAGTAAAAAAGATATCACCTTCTCTCTCAGAAATTAGGCCGTCCAGGTGAGATTCGAATCCACACCCCTTGGACTAGCAGCCCAACACGCTATCCATAGCGCTACAGGGGCACAACGAACAGTTTTTCTTTCTATATATGCTGTTGGACTATTATTTTTGTTTGTTACTATTTATTCATTTTTTAATTTAATGAATGAATTAAAAAAAATATTTGAAAAAACTGTATTAACATCTAGTGTCATCCACCGCAAGTTTAAAAAAATGTATTTGAACTTGAAAGGATGAATAGAAATTATTATTAAAGATTGAAAATTTGAATATATATATACATCCATACAAACATACACACACACACACACACACACACACACACACACACACACACACACACACACACACACACACACACACACACACACACACACACACACACACACACACACACACACACACACACACACACACACACACACACACACACACACACACACACACAAACACACACACACACACACACACACACAATACATACAAATATCATACATACATAAACAAACAAAACATACACACACATATATATATATATAGAGAGAGTGAATTAATAGTAGAGGAATGGACTAAATTCATGTGACGTCATAGTCACATGATAATTGAGCCACGTGTTTTCGGCCAATCAGTTCATAAATTAATGTGACGTCATAATTATATCATAAATATAATCACGCGTTTCCAGCCAATTAGTTCATGTGCTTCACTGTTGCCAACTTTTGCTTTTTGCAGGAACTTTTTTTTTAGAAAGTACATATTTGTCAACGATATAATAATGCACATAGTTAAGCAAAATGCACTTAATTTAAAAGTATTCGTATAATATAAGTATTTTTTTTAATTTTGAAAACTGTTTGAAGAATTTTAACACGTGAACTCTTTACCCAATCATATCAAATTTTAAAAATGCTATCTAAACTTATAAGTTAATCAACTAGTATATCAATTTTTAATTAATGGGAAACACGTGATTGCCGTTATCATGTGACCATCATGAATTTAGTCCATTGAAATATGCTGAGCTAAAAGTGTGTTCTGTTCCCAAATAAAATTTCAGATTTAAAAAGTTATATCTGCGTCGGCCGGGAGTCGAACCCGGGTCAACTGCTTGGAAGGCAGCTATGCTGACCGTTATACCACCGACGCTTGCGTAACTTAACGAAAATTCCTTACATATATAAAAATAGAGTAATGACCTATATATTGCTCAATGATAAACACGGAAAAAGAGGAGCTGAAGTGTTTGGCCGAAAAGCCTAAAGGAAGACAAATTTGTCTTTCGTCAACACCATCTGGTGGTAAAAAGGTGAGAACTCAGAGTAATAAAAAGATCTAGAGGATAAAAAATTTTTAAAATCAAGTATATGATCGTGTGTGCGAAAAACGTTCCAGTATTCTGAATAAAAAAAAATTATTCTTTATTTGTCACACTTTCGTGTTTATTTCATCTTAAAGTTTTTTTAAACAAATACGCTTAGCTCAGAAGTGAAGAGCTGCATTTTTATTACACAAATGCTTTTGAATTGCAAAAGAATGTATATATCCAGAAGATAAAATGCATATCCTAAGGCACACACACACATACATAAAAATTTTTCGCGTTCACGATTAAGTTTATTGTTAAATTTTGCTCATAAATAATATTAAATTATGATCGATAACAGTAATACCTTGACTTATTCTACCCAAATTACACGACCCCCAAATTACACAACTGTTCTTATTCACTGTTAAAATTGTAAAACTGTGATTTACGTGTATCATATAGTTCTATTTATTTGTTCTTTTTTTTCACAAATTCGTTCTTGGCGCTTCTCTTCAGTTAAATGCATAGCTAAGCCAGTGCAGGTTTAAGCTTATTTTGGACCATGCGCGCAGCTCTACAGGCCCCTTTGGACCTTCCCCTTTTATAACCAGAAAATCTGGTAAAGTACAGCTTATCTGGGCCCTTTCAGCCCCTGGGCGCGAGCCCCAAGCATCCAATGGATAAACCTGCACTGGATACACTGCATCGTTCAACGCGTCATTGATAAAGTCCTCAGATTTTGATAAACCTGCAGCTTCCTGGAAAGTTAAGTAATTAGTTCCATTGATTGTTATTATAAGTCTTCTATGAGACAACGCCTTTCTCCTCAGGCAACGATTCAAGTTCAGGCAATCGTTGCTATATTTTCCTACGAGAACTTGCAATAATGTACTATCGTAAACGTATTGGCGACATTATATGAAACGAAGCACATCGTTGCATATCCACCTAGTACAGTAGCGCACACAGGAATTTTTCAAGGGGGGGGGAGGAGTCCGGGGTCGAAAGTTCACTATTCTTGTATCATGCTCCTTTTGATTTTGTCAATTTTCTGGAACAAAACACAGTAAAAAACTAATTATTGAATAAATAATTAGCATTAATTAATAAAATTAATCATTAATAATAAATACTTAAATAAATTTTTCGTACTATATACTTAAAATTGTTATCAATCGGAAAAAAAATCGAGGGCTTTGGGGAGGTCGGACCAACAGGACCCCTTGATGCGCCCTGACCTAGTACGATACATGCACTGGCTTATCTAGTCTCGAGTGGGCTCTGTATCAAATTACTTAAGGCCTTTTTGGTGACCCCTTAGCATTTTGGGGCTCCTAAGGTTTGGAGCCCTTAATTTTTTAAATTTGGCCCTTGTATCTTTCCCCCACGGTGGAAGCTACGCCACTGGATGTATGCGAAATCAGGGTTGCCAACTTGACGGGGTTATCGAACTTTACTTTTTGCGATTCTCATAAATTTATTACAGCATCACGGGTTCTTTTTTTTTATACAGGCAGACATAATTAGACCTAGAACCCAATGAAATACAGTCGAACCTCTTTTAACAAACCTCTATATTGCGAATTTTTCTATATAGGAACTTTTTCCCGGAACCTTAAACATTTCCATTTTCTTCGTAAAATCTTCTTGGAAGGCATTTTTTATATAAAACTTTTCTTTTGTGATTAAATTTTTTCTCTTTTTTTTTTAAAGTATTTCTGAAAAATTTCAAGTTATTCTTTTTTTTAACTTTTTTTAATGGTGATCTAAATCTTGAAATGGTTTTATTAGACCCTAACTCGACGGGGCAATAGAGGGTTCTGGACGTTTCACCCAAGGGCCCCTTAATCCCATTGCCCAGTTCACTAGAAACATCTTCGATATCTTCTTTCACCCTCAGTGGGTTGTCCCGTGCCCCCGTGTCCAAATTATTAAATAATGTATGTTTAATATTACTTGTATGCTTTTTTAAAATGTCTTTTTTTTAATTTTAAAAAATTTATTTTCTTAATATTGAAAAACAGTGAATTTTTTTTCGTTTTCCTTCTTTTTCTTTTTTTTCCCCGTGGAAAAAGTTTAAAAAAATAAATTTTTTTTAAAAAGTTTGGAAAATTTTTTTAAACATAATGTTTATAATTTTTTTTTTATTGGTTTTATATAAAGTATATTAAAAGATGAACCGCTATATAACGAATATTTCATATAACGAACTTTTTTTCTGTGATTTAGCGACTTCGTTATATAGTGGTCCGACTGTATTAAATTAATCCTTAAAAAGAAATACCTATTTTCTTCATTAATCAAATAATCTACTTGTTTTGGCAAGATAAATAGCTGCAACTCTTATTTTAAAATAATTTCAAATTTTTTTTTCTCGATTTTAAAAAAAAAATGAGCGAATGAAAGATCGTGATTGAAAAATTCGCTTTGGTTGCAATCCTCCCTTTTTTTATGCCTTTATAATAAATTGTTTACACGAAAGTTAAACGACAGTAATTCGAACTTAACAAAGTATTAATAGCAGTATAACCTTCAGAGACTAATGTTATTGTCGCAAATGAACCCATTTTTCAATTAAGAACCGCTTAACGTTACATTAATCCGAGTTATGGGTTGTCTCTCTTCCTTGTCTATCTGAGAAAGAGGAAAATACACTGAGAAAAGTTTACGATGAAAAGTACAGTAAAATGAATCGAAATCGTATCATTTTGGATTCATTCATTTTCCGTAGTAATTGCTTTTGTTTTCTTACGTTCAAAGTTAAATCCATTTTATAAGAATATTTTATAATAATAGGTGTTATATAAATCCTGTACAGCAGAAAAAAGACGATGCAATGGTCTAAATTCATGTGACGTCATAGTCACATGATAACTACAAAGACGTGTTTCCAGCCAATCAGTTAATGTGAAATAAAGATCAAGAATATCAAATCATCAATAGAGATCAAATGATCAAAAATAAGAACCATTGTAAGATCATAAATGACTCAAAAACCACTTTTATTACTTAAATGAAAACAGTTTTCCTTATATCTTAATGTCCTTTTCTATAAATATTAGTGCAAATATTGAAGCATATATCATTTATACGAAAGAAAGGTGATATGAACTCCAAAACATTTCCCTTTCTGGTTAACGTTTTCTAATACAATTATAAAATTAATTAAAGGTTAAAGAAATTTCCTGCTTTGTGAAGTTATTGTAAAAATTTACCTTAATCTATCAGATAAAACATAGCAGGAAGGAGCCATTACAGTTTATGTGATATCTTTATTTTAAAGGGGATATTCCGAAAAAAAAATAATCATATCAAACACACTAACGATAACGAACTGTCGGACCCCGATTAACCGAACTCCTATTTAGTGAATTTGTTTTCTTTTTTTCTAATTAAAATGAAGGCAAAGACTCTTATTCGATGGATAATAAATCCCGAATGAATAAGTGGCTGCGGTTGCCAAGTGGTCAAGGTATCGGACTTGTGGTTTTCGTGTCATGAGTTCAAGCCCAATATCATTGAAGACCCGCCGTGTAGGGGAGCGATGCACGTTAAATCTGTCGAGAGGTCAAACGTCCTCCCGTTGGTGTGGTGTGATAGTTTGGAGAGGGGGTGCCAGCTCAGGTGTCATCCTCGCCACTTGATCATGGTTCAAAATTACGATGTCCGTCGCCAGAAGCCTTTGAGTACCTGAACAGTGTGACGTTAATATTCACTCACCCGAATTAACAAATTATTTCAACAGCCAAATATAT